TTTTTATTCTTTATCCTGTCGCTGGACTTTCTCTTGTGGGATCAATAGAGTGAGTATCTATCTATCTGGGCGACCGTGGTTCAGGGGGTTGGGAAGCTCATCTTGTAACCGCAAAGTTACCGATTTGATCCCCAGCTCACTCTGTTCTGATCGTTGTGTCCTTGGGCAAGACACTTCACCTACCTACCACCTACCGGTGTTGGCCAGAGGGGCCGATGGCGCGATATGGCAGCCTCACTTCTGTCATTCTGCCCCAGGGCAGCTGTGGCTACACCGTAGCTGCCTCCACCAGTGTGTGAATGTGAGAGTGAATGAATAGTGGCATTGTAAAGCGCTTTAGGTGCCTTGAAAAGTGCTATATAAATCCAATCCATTATTATTATTATTATAGCCTATTTCAGACTGAGAGATCTCAGTTGCTTTGTTTCTCATTGTTCCTGAATTTCCTTAGATCGCGGCATGATATCTGCCACTTTGTCAGGCAGGTCCTATTTAAGTGATCTCTTGATTGAGAGTAGGTGTGACAGTAATCGGCCCTGGTTGTTGCTAGAGAAATTAAACTCAGCTTTCCAAAGATGTGATACACCACAGTTAATTTATGCTACAGCAGAAGAGGGCAATTAATTTTTCCACTTAGGGCCATGTAGGTTTGGATTTTTTCCCCTTAATAATAAACACCATCATTTAGAAACTGCATTGTGTTTGTGTTATCTTTGTCTACCATTTAAATTTGTTTGATGAGCTGAGATATTTAAGTGTGACAAATATACGAAAAGAATAGGAAATCAGGAAGGAGGCAAAAACTTTTTCACATCACTGTATTTGAAGTCTGGGTGTCTCACAGGATGAACACTAACTATAAACTGAGGGATTTGTTAAAGGGACCTACCTGCTAAACATTAAACAGTCACAGATCACCGTTGTGCGTCAACATGAAGACGATGACCACAGATAATGTATAATAGTCTGAATGGACTTGTGTAACATCACAGACTCAACTGGACATCCACGTGTCTGCAACAAAGTAAAACTGAGTGTGTGTGAGTGCACTCACTGCTCGGAGGTGAAAATGTAGCCAATGACATTTCTGGTAGAGATGATCAAAGCCCCAACCAAACAGGCAACTGCCACTGTGGTGCACAAATAAAGTAAAATGCACAGCGTGAGAGAACAGCTCACATGTAGAGAGTCAAAGAGAGAAGGTGAAGACACGACCTGTGTTTTCAGGGACGGTTTGCATACGTATTGATAACACATGCAACCAGTCCTTTGCTTTCAATTATTTCTTTTTAAGATTACTCGTTTCTTACATGCACAGATGATAGAGACTTTGCACGATAGCTCAGCCTGCTTTGGATTTCCTGCACCAAGAGCATTTCCAACTCTCACACTGGCAGCAACAGAGAATCCCAGTGGGCTCTGTGAAAAGACATGTATTTACACAGTGATAATGTGAAGTATTGAATTTCATGAAAATAAATGATCTCATTAAAGTTAGTTTAAAGTTATGAGGGACATGGCACCACTACCACATTGGTATGATAAGTTCAAAAGTAGAGCTAGAAGCTCATTTTCTTAGCACAAAGATTAGAAACAGACGAAAACAGCAAGAGATGCTAGAGCCAGTCTGATTTGTTGTAGTGTAAACTTGCACTAAACTTGCACAAGCTCAAATAAAACTGCCATTAGGACAAAGACAACACAAACACACACACGAAGAAACACACAAAGAAACCAAAGCAACTACTGCCAACTTCATTAGAAGAACAGAAGGAAACTGCCAATACGGCTGGTAGTTTTCCTGGGCTGCAGCACTGCATTGCATATAATCCAACAATGTTCCCTTGGAGTGGTGAGCATTGATGAGCATGTGCTGCACAAACTGGAAGCAAACCATGCAGCAGATGAACAGTCACTGATTTTACAATCCCACATT